TGGTATCGCTTGTTTGTTTTCAGACAAGGTCTCACTTTGGCACTCTGGTTTGGCCTGAAACTCACAGAGCTCCCACTTGAGTCTATCTCCTATCCCCAGCTAAGATAGCTTGGTTTTTTTGTTTGTTTAGTTTTCTTGTTCGAGACAGGTTTTCTCTGTCTCTGGCTGTCCTGGAACTCGATTTGTAGACCAGGCTGGCCTTGAACTCACAGAGATCCTCCTGCCTTTGCTTCCTGAGTGCTGGGATTAAAGGCATGCACCACCACTGCCCTGGTGATAGCTTATTTTTAATGTCCATTTCACATTTAAAAGTTTTAACTTAGAAATAATAAGTAGAAAAAAAAGAAATAATAAATAGTCCAATAAAAAAACATGAACTCAATTGATTTTCAGAAATGCTCACAAATAATGGAAAATGTCATACCTTTCTCTATAGTATAGGATATAACCAACAGCATTGTTCCACTGTTCCCAGACTTTTTCTTTCTCTCCGCCTCTGCCCCCTCCCCCTTTTTTGAGAGACAGATTCTTATAATGTGTTGTCCATGCCTCCAATTTACAGTCTTTCTGCCTTGGTCTCTGAATGCTGGGACTACAGGTGTGTATCGCTACACTTAGCCTCTTATTTTATTTTTTTAAAAATGTATTTTATTCTTTTAAATTATGTGTGTTTGTGGGTGATTCTCCCTCCTTTAGTCCTGGCTCCTCTGCCAAGGCTGGGGCATGGTGTTGGGGGTGCACCTCCCCATTCATGCTGGAATTTTGGCTGTGTGTGTGCAGATAGCCACGGTAGTTGCAAGTCAGTGAGTGCAATAGCCGTGTATCATGTCTGAAAGTCAGCATTTCATAGTTCTCCTCCCCATCCACCAGCTCTTACATCCTTCTGCGTCCTCCTTGGAGATGCTCTCTGAGCCTTGGATGGCTGTGTGGGAATGGGGAGGTTGATGGATGATTCATCCACAGCTGAGCACTCACAGTTACTTAGGCCTTTGACCACTTATGGTGAGTTTGTTTTTAAACAGTTTTTTTTCATGGTCAAATATTAAAATAGAGTGGGGACATTTAAGGTGGAAAGTAAAAGTTCTTTAGTCACAGTTAAGAAAAACCACAGTTATTTGTTGGGAAGGCGTCTTACAAATGTATCTTTTGAAAACGTAAATGAAGCCACTGTGTAGTTTGTGTAAGTATGTGTTGTATATTTTAACTGGCTTCAGAGAACTCCATAGGATGGAATTTTCATAAGTTATTTAACTCATCTTAACAGCATGTAGGTTTCATTTAGGATTTTTTTAGTACAATAACCTCTTGGATGGTTTTCCAGAATGATATGATTATATATGTAGACTTTTTTTTTTTTTTTTTTTTTTTGGTTTTTCAAGACAGGGTTTCTCTGTGTGGTTTTGGTGGCTGTCTTGGATCTTGCTCTGTAGACCAGGCTGGCCTTGAACTCACAGAGATCCGCCTGGCTCTGCCTCTGGAGTGCTGGGATTAAAGGCGTGCGCCATTACCGCCCAGCTGTAGACTAGACTCTTAGAAGTGGTGTTAAATGGATGATTCTGGAATACTAAATATGGTATTGGTGTGTACCCCAATATATTGACCAGGTCTTTGGTGGGCTATCTTTTTACTGCTATCTTTCTCATGGAGTCAGAGTTCAGAATCAATATTTAGATTGTGGTTTTAGTATTTTATTTATTCATTTATTTATTTTGTTTTTTTGAGATAAGTTTTCTCTGTGTAGCCCTAGCTGTCCTGGATCTCGCTTTGTAGACCAGGCTGGCCTCGAACTCATAGAGATCCGCCTGCCTTTGTTCCTGAGTGCTGGGATTAAAGGCATGTGCCATCACTGCCTGGCTAATGCTGTTGATTCTTGAAAACAAAAAAGATTATTGACACAGAAGTGGACATATCTGACTGAGCAGAAAACTCCTGTATCTTTGTGGCTGCAGAAATTCTTTGTAGTTGACTTGCAGAACTTGTGATTTCTCTGAGCATTTTGTAAATAATTTACACCTTGAGAGCACTGCACAACCACAGTAATGGAACCTCAGGCTCTGGGTGGTATTAAGCACTTTAATAATTAATTATCACAGCTGCTTCCCTGTAGCATGAGTGAGAAGGGAAATCTACAGCTCAGAGTGATAAAGCCTTCATTGAGATGTTTACACATCAGTCATCCATTAATACTCATATTTGTAGTGTTAGAAAATACAGAAAAGGTTACTGATTGTTAAGTACATTTTGGGAATCGTTGAAGGGAATAATTGGCTTTCATTTTAATCATAGCAGTTCCAGTGATGCTTTACCAAACCCTAAATCTCCCTGGTAGTTAATTTATTATTGTGTATATGTGTGGGCATATGTATCTGTGCAGGTGTGGGTGCACATGTGTGCACATGAGTGAGGAGGCCCAAGGTTGGTATTGGGAGTGTTCCTTTGAGCAGGGGTCTCTCAACTGAACCCAGGGCTCATAGAACCTCTTAGTCTAGCTAGCCAGGTTGCTCTTGGGATCCTGTCTCTGCCTTCTAAGTGCTGGAATTATAGGTGGGCTTCTGGGCCCACATGGCAGTTGTGTGGGTATTGGGGATCCAAACCCTGGTCTCTATACTTGCTTGACAAGCATCTTAATCTACTGAGTCACAACTCCTCTCCCTAGGTCCTTGGTAGTCTAACTTGATTGCACTCCTCCCTAAGAGTTCTCCTGTGGATGTCACTCAGCGGCAATATAGACAATCCTTGGTCAAATAATTTCTTTTTTCTTCTTGTGGTTTTTGGAAACAGGGTTTCCCTGTGAAGCCCTGGCTGTCTTGGAATTTGCTCTGTGGATCAGGCTTGCCTTGAAAGCAGAGATCTGCCTGCCTCTCCCTCCCGAGTGCTGGGATCAAAGGCGTGCGCCACCACTGCCCGTCCCAAATAATTTCTTTTGAATAAAATACTTTAAAAGATAGTTCTATGGGGCTGGAGAGATGGCTCAGCAGTTAAGAACACTGGCTGCCCTTCCACAGGACTTGGGTTCAATTCCTAGCACCCATATGGCAGCTCACAACTTTCTAACTACAGTTCTAGGGGATCAGACACTATCACACAGACATATATGCAGGCAAAACACCAATGAACACAAAATCAAATTAAATCATTAAAATTAAAAAAAAGATAGTTCTATGTTAAAAGTTTAAACTCATGATGAAATTCAGTGAAATTTCTACTCCAGTAAACTACTTGCCTGAGATGGGATGGAATTTTGAATAAATAACTTCTCTACTTTTAGTTGTATGACTTTAGATTGACAAACTATTAGTTTGTGTGCTTGTTTTATATGTAAGCAAAATGAGGATTGTAAATATATTTACCTTGTAGTTATGTGTTATTTAGCTAGTAGTACACAGAAGACTGTCTGCCATTTAATAAATATTAAGCCAGAACTATCACCATCATCAACATAATTCAAATGAGATTTATTACCTTCTCCAGAAGCTAGATAGCTCCTTTTAGGAAGACCAAATTCCCTGAAGGATGTGATCAGTTTTGTTTGTTTGCTTTTTGAGACTGGGTCTTGGTATGAGTACAGGTTAGCCTTGCACTCCAGTGTTAGCCTTTGTGCGTCACCACTGACTGCATATGCAGCCCACTTCCAGTTTAGTATAGAAACTCTCATTTTGACTTGTGACAGACATCTACCTTCAGATTTGTTTACAGCTGATTAGGTTTTTATGTAATCACTACAAGAGATAAAGAAACTCACTGTTAAGTAAAGAAAGCAAGGGACAAAATGTGTGCATTATCATTTGTATAAAAAATTGGAGGGCTGCCACCACACAGTAGTTTCATTTGTTGCTGTTAGAAAAAGACAATCCATTAGGAAGCTGGTGACAAGGATGGAAGACTTTATAGCCTTTTATACTTAATTTTTTTTTTTAAATGGGATCTTAGTTTCTTGCTATGTAGCCTGAGCTAGTCTGGAACTCACAGAGATCCGTCTACTTCTGCCTTCCCAAGTGCACCACCACATCTAGCTTGTTGGTTTGTGAGACAAGAATTTGCTGTACAGTCCAGGTTGGACTGTAGCTTATGTCCCTCCTACCTCAGCCTTTCAAGTGCTGGGATTATAGGTATGGACCACCATAGGTGGCTTTGGCCTTTTTTTTTTTAATTGAACCATATTGGTACATTCTAAATTACTAAAAACACATTAAAAATTGAAAAGTATTAGATCTGTTTTGAAATTTGGACAGACTTATTCATAAGCACTTCTTTTGGTAATACTGAAATTCAGTTGCACTTTTTTTTTTTTTAAAGACATGATCTTACTATGTAATCCTGGCTGCCCTAGAGCTTACATAGAGTTTACACCAGGCAAACCTCAAATTGAGTGATCCTCCTACCTCTATCTTCTTAATGCTGAGGTTACAGACAATTCAGCACCATCCCCTAAATTCACAGTTAGGGACTGGTGAGATAACTCAGAGGTTAAGAGCATATACTGCTCTTGAAGAGAGGAGTCTTGCAGAGGACCACATTGAGTGCCTATAACCCTGCCTTCAGGGGACTCTGATGCCTTTGTCCTCCCATGCACATACCCACAGATGAACATAATTGAAAATAAAAAGAAATCTTTGGTTGGTTGGTTATCTATCAGCGTATTTATTTATTTATTTATTTACTTACTTATTTATTTAGAGACAGGGTTTGTCAATCCAAAGTCACATAACTAAAAGTAGAGAAGTTATATATTCAAAATTTTATCTCATCTCAGGCAATAGACAATAGTCTGCTACCTGAGTGCTAGGATTAAAGGCTAAATAAATCTTTAAAAAAATTTACCTTTAGTAGGATTTCCAGTATTTCCTTTTTAGTTTTGCAATTCCTCCCTTCCCTGGGCACAATGGGGAGTCCCTGGGTCTTGGCCCCTCTACCACTGAAGTATCTAGCTAGTTCCTGTTTTGTTTTTGTCTGAGGTCCAGCTTCCACCACTAAGCTTAAGTATGTTTGTCCTCTTTCAGGGATTTGAGTCATAACCGGTTGTCTAACTGGAACATAAGCTTGGAATCACAAACTTTACAAGAAGTGTAAGTTATTTTTATTTATTCAATATTAAAGTCTTTGAAATAACCTAATTATGAATTTGAGTATTTTTGGTGTGTGTATGTGTGTACGTATTTGTGGTCTTGTGTGTGCTTGTGGAGTCCAGAAATGTGCATTAAGTGTCTCCTGAATTGCTTGCCTACCTTATTTGTTTAAGATGTTTTTATTTATCCTTTGAGAATTTCATATATTTTGACCATATTCTTTCCCTTTTTCCAAGTCCTCCCAGATCCTCACACATCTCCCTATCCACCCAACTTTTATGTTCTCTCCATTTTTCTTGTTTTTGATTTGTTTTTCTTTCAAGACAGGACTTCTCTGTGTAGCCCTGGCTGTCCTGGAATTCACTGTGTAAACCAGGCTGGCCTCAATTCAGAGATCTGCCTGCCTCTGCCTCCTGGGTGCTGGGATTAAAGGTGTGTGCCACCACTGCCCAGCGTTTTTTTGTTTTTGTTTTTTTTGGGTTTTTTTTGTTGTTGTTGATTTGTTTTTTGAAACAGTGTCTTCCTGTGTAGCCCTGGCTAGCCTGGAACTCACTTTTTAGATCAAGCTTGCCTTGAAATTACAAAATCCACTTGCTTCTGCCACCTAGTCCAGTGCTCTTTCTCTCTTAAAAACTAAACAAACAAACAAGTAAAATCCCTAAACAAACATGGAGTCTAATTTGTGTTGGCTGGTTATTCCTGAATATGGAGCCTTCCCTGAGTGTGGTTGATATACTCAATATCACTCCATTGAAAAAAACTGATTTCCTCTCCCAGCAGTTACCAATTGTAAGTAGCTTTTTGTCTTGGAGTAGGACTTAGTGTCCACTTCCCCTTGGGGTTTTGTCTGGCTTGAGCTTGTGCAGGTCTTGTGCATGCTGTTGCAGTCTCTATGAGTTCATGTGTGCATTTGCCCTGTTGTGTCTAAGAAGACAGCTGTTTCCTTGAAGTCATCTGCCACCTCTGGCTCTTAGGATCTTTCTGCCCCCTCTTTCTTGTACATCCCTGAACTTTGGGAGGAGTGTGATACAGATATCCCATTTAGGACTGAGCATTCCAAATTTTCTTAACTCTGCATGTTGATCAGTTAATTACTGTCTACTTCATGGAGACGCTTCTCTGATAAGAGTTGAGAGATACATTGATCTATGGATATAGCAATATGTCATTAAGAGTCGTTTTATTGATATGTTCATTTAACAGGAGAATAGTAGTAGATTTCCCCCTAGGGCCTATGATTTATCTATTCTTAGGTACTTGGCCTCATTCTACCTTAGTTTTTGAGGCAGCATCTCTCAACCTGAACCTCACTGATTCAGCTAGATTGACTGGTCATTGATCACCAGGGATCTGCCTAGTTCCACTTCCCCTACCTTAGTACTGGGTGTACAGATGTGTACTACTCTATTCAGCTTTACATTGGTGCTGGGGATCTTAACTTGGTCCTTATGTTTGCATACCAAGCACTTTACTGCCTGGACCATTTATTTCTCCGGCCTGAATTTGGGAATATTTAATCTAGAGATGCTGTGAAAACAATTGAAGGAAGGGCTGGAGAGATGGCTCATTGGTTAAGAGCACTTGCTGCTCTTCCGGAGGACCTGAGTTCCATTCCCAACAACCATGTGAGGCATCTCACAGCTACCCTACTGTCCTACCACTGAGCTATACATCCTCCTTTTGAAACATTTTTAAAATTAAAATGTATCACTTCTTAACCCCCTTTTTAAAAACAGTGTTTTTATTATTTTATGTGTATGGGTGTTTTGGCTGCATGTTGGTCTGTACACCATGTGCATGCGGGATCCACAGAGGCCAGAACAGGAAGTCAGATACCCTGGAACTGGAGTTTGAGACAGTTGTGAGCTGCCATATGGGTGCTGGGAATCAAACCTGGGTCTTCTAGAAGAGCACCCAGTGCTATTAACAATGGAACCATCTCTTCATCTCCTCAACTCCCTTCTTTAAAAAGATGGAGTCTTGCTACATAGCTTAGACTGATCTAAAATGTCCATTGTAGGTTTGCCTTGGATTACATGTCCTCCTCCATCCATCTTCTAAGGTCTGGAGTTGCTGGCATGTGTCATCATATCTGGTCCAAGCCTTTGTAATACTGATTTTTGTTGTTGTTGTTGCTATTGCTTTTTGAGACAGGGTCTTTCTGTTATAGTCCAGGTTGGTTTTGAACTTATATTCTCCTTCCTGTTCCTTCCAAGTAATGGGATTACAGGTGTGCTAAAACCACATCTAGCATTTAATACTGATTTTAATGGTAGAACATTACTATGAAGTAACACATTAAAATCTCCAATTTCTCAGAGCTGCAGAGATGGCTCAGCTTTGGTTAAGCTCACATACTGCTCTTGAAGAGGACCTGAGTTTTGTTCCCATCATTCACATTGGGTGGCTTACTACTTACTGCCTGTAACTTAAGCTTTAGGGGATCTGATGCCACTGCACTTAATTTGTACAACCCTCCTCTTCTCACATAATTAGAAATAATAAAAATCTTAAAAAAATGTAATTTTTCAAAACCACAATTTTATATTAGTCTAATTTATTCTGTGTTATAGGCCTTTTCAAATTTGGATACACTAGCATATTATCCAAAAACCAGAATTCAGGAGGTAATTTCCACCATTAAACTTTCAAAACTGTTTTCTCTTTTGCTTAGGAAAATGAATTACAATGAGCTAACAGAGATCCCATATTTTGGAGAACCAACACCTAATATTACCCTACTTTCATTGTAAGTTAAGACTTCAGATCTTTTATTTAATTGTGAGTGTGTGTGTGTGTGTGTGTGTGTGTGTGTGTCTCTCTCTGTGTGTGTGTGTGTGTGTGTGTGTGTGTGTGTGTGTGTATGTATGTAGAAATCCCTGTTTTGGAGAACCAACACCTGCTATCACTCTGCTTTCACTGTAGTATAACAGTACCTGTTGTTTGTTTTTCAAGTGCCCATACTATTTATCCTAATGATTTAGTGTCCTTGTGGCCTGGGATAAATCATTGGCAATAACTTCAGTATAACCCTTGTTTTGTAGAGTCCATAATCTAATACCAGAAATAAATGCAGAAGCATTCCAGCTTTACTCTGCTCTCGAGAGTTTAGACCTCAGTTCCAATATAATATCAGAGATCAAGACATCTTCATTTCCTCAAATGTCGCTGAAGTACCTGTAAGTAAAATAGAGACCTGCATTTACCGAATTGATTGGAAGAGTAGTTTATGAGTAAACTGCAAGGGAACAGTGGGCTGGGCAGTAACTGGTGTACTGCCTGCTTTCTAGATTTACTTTAAAGTGCATTTCTATCCTTCATCGGTTAACCACATTCCCTCAAATGTCTGTTGTTTATTTAATTTTGATATTCATTTGTAAAACAAGCTTAGCTTTGGGCTTTTGGGGTTATTTATTCTTCTATTTCACCTGAAAAGAAAGTGTACTCTGTTGCCAGTAAAAAAAAATTGCTAGACATTGAATGCAACGTTCAAGATTTAATTTTTAACATTGATTTGTTTGTTATTGTACATGGGGTGATGTAATACACATATCCTACAGTGAGAGTGTGGAGGTCAGAGGACAACTTTGTGGAATTGTTTTTGTCTTCCATCTCTGTCTCTCTGTATCTTTCTTTCTTTGCTTGGTTTTCTTTCTCTTTTTTGAATTGAATTAATTATTTTTTTAAAATAATTTTTTTATTAAAAGATTTTTGTATTCATTTTACATACCAACCACAGATTCCCCTGTCCTCCCTCCTCCCACTCCCCAGCCTTCCCCCCCCCCCAACCTACCCCCCATTTGGTTTTCTTTCTTTTAGTTTTTTGAGACATGGTTTCTCTGTGTATTCTTGGCTGTCCTGGAACTCACTCTGTAGACCAGTCTGGCCTTGAACTCGAGATCCGTCTGCCTCTGCCTCCCCAGTGCTGGGATTAAAGACGTGCGCCACTAGTGCTCAGTTTTTTTCTTCCATCTTTATGTGTGTTCCAGGGATGGAATTCAGGTTGTTAGGCTTGTTTGGCAAGTGTTTTTATTTGCTAGGCCATCTTGTCAGCCCAAGATGGCTGACATTTTGGTACTGGAAACCAAATCTAGGATCTTGTCATGCTAGGCGGTTGCTGTCACATGAGCCATACCTCCAGTCCTAATCAGCTTTTGTAATTTACTTTTGTAAAAAGTAAATAGGAATGATTTGTTACTGTTTGTTAAACAGTAGCTTACCCTGTGTATTGATGATGATAGCATGCGTGCCAGTTTCTAAAGCATATTCATGCACACTATTTTGTAACATCCTAAATGAAGTGGAGCTTTGCTTTCCACCCCGTTGTTTTGAGACAGGGTTTCACTGTGTTGTCCTGGCAGGCCTGGAACTTATCACGTAGACCAGGCTTGCCTCAAACTCATAGAGATCCATCTACCTCTATCTTGCAAGAGCTGGGATTAAGGGTATTTACCACCATGCCCCACCTTCCCCCTGTTTTTAAGGCTGGGGTTCAAACCCCTAGGACCTTGCCATATGTACTCCATCACTGAGCTATACCTATAGCCCTAACATAATTAATTTTGTAGATAAAGGGAGAAAGCAATTAAGTGATTTGTGAACTAAAATAGCAGTTAAGGAGCTGAGGAGATTGCTCAGTGGGTACAAGTGCTTGGCTCTGCAAGCACAAGAACCTGAGTTCAAATCCCAAATACCCTATGATAATAGGGACGTGACTGTGTATGTCTGTAACTCCAGCATTGGGGGTAGTGAGAGGCATATCCTGAGAGTTTGATGGCAGCCAGTCTAGCCAAAATGATAGATAGATTCCTGATTCCATGGGAGACTGAGCTTCTGGTTCCATGAGAGACCCTGTCTTGAGGTAATAAGTCAGAGAATGATAGAGGTAGCTTTCTCTTCCCCCATCCTGCTCTGGCCTCTACACCCACATACACACAATGTGCATACTCAGTTGGATAACACATACACATACACACACAAAAATAGCAGTTAAGATTCTTTTTTGATTCATAAGCATGATGATTGGGTATTCATGCCTTTGCATGATATGTGCCTCCCATGACGTTGTTGCAACCTTGGCACATGACTTTTGTCTGACATGAAAATAAACAGCCTGATTTGGGGGGCTGGGGAGATAGCAGTCTAATGTTTTGTCAAAATGTGTATAGTTAATTGATGGAATTGGAGCCAGAGTTACAGACATTGGTTAGTTATCACTGTTTCTTTTCTTTTGCTGCTACCTTGTCATTTTAGGAATTTGAGTAATAATAGGATAACCACCTTGGAGGCTGGTTGCTTTGACAACCTATCAGGTTCTTTATTAGTGGTAAAATTAAACCGGAACCGAATTAGCATGATTCCACCTAAAGTCTTCAAGCTGCCTCATCTCCAGTTCTTGTGAGTAACAAAATGGATGGATTGTAAGAGACAAGTTTTCTTTTACAGTAGTTTTTCTTTTTAAGTTACTGTTAGAGTAACTCAGCCAATTTTCTAACTGTAAAATTTTTTGTTTAAGGGAACTGAAAAGAAACAGGATTAAAATTGTAGAAGGCCTTACCTTCCAAGGGCTTGATTCCTTACGCTCATTGAAAATGCAACGGAATGGAATTAGCAAACTCAAAGATGGAGCATTTTTTGGCTTGAATAATATGGAAGAATTGTAAGTACTAGGAGAGGGAGAGTTGGGAGGACTCTTTCTGGGCTTTTAATGTTCGTTAACAGATACACGGTTTTCCTGATGTGAGGTAAAAGGCAAACAACCTTTACTTTCTTCTCCTCCTCCCCTCCAAGATTGAACCCAGGGCCTTACACATGCTACACACCTTGCTTTCGTATGGACTTTTAAGTTTTTTTAGTTAACTGGTATTTTTGTTATTTTGTATTTTGTTATTAAACTTTTCAATCTAAAAATAAATTATATTGTTTTGACTCAAAGTTACCAGAATTTATCTGAATCAGGAATCTTGTACTACTTGATGTGTTGGTTTTGTAGCTACTTAGTCCCTTTAGGGCTAGATCTTAAGTTTCTTGGGTCACTAGAGATTAGCAAACGTGTCTGTCAAAGCATTTAATGGAGATTTACAGTCGTGGTATTGAACGCCTTGTTTGAGTTACTCACTTCTCTCTGTAATTGTACAGAGAGCTGGAACATAATAACCTCACAGGAGTGAACAAAGGGTGGCTGTATGGCTTGCGAATGTTACAGCAGCTCTATATGAGCCAGAATGCTATCGAAAGAATCAGCCCTGACGCATGGGAGTTCTGCCAGAGGCTGTCTGAACTGTAAGTGTGGAGGAATTACGCTCATGGTTGTCATGAGATCTCTGTTTCCTCAGTCTTTGTTAGAAACACTAAACTTAGCATGTCAATGGAGTAAAATTTGTAGGTTGGGCTAAATACAATAATTTTTTGACTTTCAGTGTTTCTTGTTTTTCAGGGATTTGTCCTATAACCAGCTGACCCGCCTTGATGAATCTGCCTTTGTGGGTTTGAGTTTCCTAGAGAAATTGAATTTAGGGGACAATAGAGTCACTCATATTGCTGATGGTGTATTTAGGTTTCTTTCCAATCTTCAAACACTGTAAGTTTTTAATTTTTTTTTTTTGCTTTTTTTTTTTTTAATTTGTTTCAGAATGAAACTAAGCAAATTAATGAAAATAATTAATCAATGTGAAAATGGATATATGTTAGCATTTTGTGTTTCTTTTGTTCTCTATCCCATAAGTACACCTTAGAGCAATTTATACTTTAATTCTGACTAATCTCCTAACAGCAAAGCCTCTCCAGGTCAGTTGACAGTGTTAGAATGCAGTCATCTGCTTATTCTCTTGATGGATAGTGTACCAGAACGCCTGGCTTTGTCTGGAAGGATGTAGCTGTGGAGTGGTAGCGGTCTATACTACTACACTGTTAGGAGTTTGCTGCATGTGTGTGTGTGTGTGTGTGTGTGTGTGTGTTTGGGTCTTTGGGGGCAGTGCTGTGGATTAAAACTTGACCATACTAGGCCAGCACTATGAGCTACATCTTCATGCTTTGCCCCAAGGAAACTAACCCCTTTTTTCTTTTTGGTGACAAGATTTCAATGTGTAGCTTAGGTTGGGCTTGAACTCTTAGCTCTGCCTTACAGGTACAGGGATTATAGATATGTATTATCATGCCTGGTTAAATGGTGTGTGTGTGTGTGTGTGTGTGTGTGTGTGTGTGTGTGTGTGCGCGCGCGTATGCGCGCATGCGTTTGTGCTACTACATTTGGTGCTGCTACTGTTGATTGATTATTGGCCTTGTTCAGGGGAATACTCCCCTAGCATACACAAGGCCAGTAATCAATCGACAGAAGCACTACTGATGAGTTTCATTAAGATTGCTTATAGGAGTCTGGCTCGGGTACCAGTGGCCATAAGGTTGAAGAAAGTATTTCTTCCCTCCCCCATTAACTGTGTAACTCCTCAGTGAGGTGTGGGGCCTTGTGAGCCCCTTCTTCCTCCATTAAAGAATGTTGATGGGCTTTATCTTTTTTTTTCCCTTTATGAAATTTATTTTCTTATATAAATTACGTATCTGGGCAGACAGCCTTCACTTTATTGCACTAGTAGCACATGAGGTTTGTGTTTTTCATCATAGCTCTGGTCTACCAGGTACTGTAGAAGAGGATGAGGAAAAGCCAGGACCTGCTCAGGAGGCCAGGGGTTGGGTGGGATGGGGTGAGGTATAGAACAACAATAACCCTTCTGACAACTGGTTTTCTCCCAGGAGATGGGCCTCGTTTTACATAGGTAATCACAGCTTCTGGGAGTTTAAGATTGTTATGCTATGTCTTTTTAAAGATTTATTTATTCATTATGTATACAGTATTCTGCCTGAAGATATGCCTGCACACCAGCTCTCATTCTAGATGGTTGTGAACCACCATGTGGTTGCTGGGAATTGAACTCAGGACCTCCGGAACAGCAGCTAGTGCTCCTAACATCTGAGCCATCTCTCCAGCCCCTATGGCTGAGTCTTAAATACTCTGTCCTCTTCACTTTGACCAGTTATGAGTCTCTGCAGTTAACTGGTGGCCCTCTCCAAAAAGAAGCTTCTCTGATCAAAACTGTCATCAATAATCATATTCAATTATTTAGAAGTCAGATGTTGGGCACATCATGCTCATTAGGAAAATAATAGCAATTGCTTCCTCCCTAGGGCCCACGCCTTTCCTAGCCATGGACTTTTGACCATGTTTATGGAGCAAGCCTCAAGTACAATCACAAAGTGGTTGGATAATAGGCGTGTTGATGTTAATACCAGTAGGTACATCTTTCCTTTCAAGTCAGTAGTGTTACACAGAGTCCACGGCTGAGTAAGACTGTTGATAACAATACTTCAGCACTGTGAGACTAGTCAGCAGGAAGGAAGCTTTCAGCCTAGTTCTAGTGTGATTCCTGTGTCCTGAGACCAAAGCATGTGGTACCTTCAGCAGTTGTGTCTTACCATCTAGTTCTGGTGGGCAGCCAACGGCAGTAGCAATCGCCTGTATTGTTTTGGGGGCATTTGGGGCCTTTCTGTCTAATCACTTGTAGGGAGGCAGCCCATCCTCGCCCTGGGGTTCTCATTTAACATCATATGGCTTCTGGTAGCAGCTTTATTCTCTCGTGCATGGTACCGCCATTAAAACTCTGTTTTCTTTTGAAATTTTATTTTTTTAATTAGCTTACCAAGTATCAGGTTTTCCTAGGGGTAGAGGTTTTTTCCATATCCGTAGCTTTAATTGACTCTTTCCCACCCTTTCCTCTCCTTCCTCTCCTCTTCTTCCCCTACTCCACTGCTTCCTTTCCCATGTAAACTTTTTCACTTTTGTTTTCCCCTTCTACTCTTGTATCTAATGGGTTCTATCCCTTCCCCCTAAAAATGGCTTTTGTCCCTTCTTAGGGGCCCTGTTCTCATAATTTGGATTCTTAATGCCTATTTATTAGAATTCTTGAGATTATCACATTCAAAATTAATAAATGGTTTCAGGAAAGAGATAGGCTCCAAACTTTGGGACCTAACCACCAATGAGAAGGAGACACAATGAATATAAGAAAAATACTTAGGATACACGCTGTCTAGTTACTATTATACTTAGTTACTTAGTTCTGTTGCTGTGAAGAGACACTATGTCCAAGGCAGCTCTTATAAAGGAAAGCATTTAATTGGGCCTTGCTTACAGTTTCAGAGGGTTAGTCCATGAGCATCCTAGCAGGGAGCGTGGCAGCAGGTAGGAGCAGTGGCTGAGAGCTTACATCCTGATCATCAGGCAGCAGACAGAAAGGCTAGGTCTGTTGTGGGCTTTTGAAACCTCAAAACCTACGCCTGCTGACACACCTCCTCTAACAAAGCCACACCCTCTCCAGCAAGGACACACTTGTTCCAGCAGGGACCCAGCACAGTCCTTCCCAAACAGTTCTCCTAACTGGAGATCAATCATTCAAACATAAATCTATGGGAGCCAGTCTCATTCAAACCACCACATTCCACCTCCTGGCCCTATAGGCTTGTAGCCATATCATAATGAAAAATGCATTCGGTTCAACTTTAAAAGTCCCCATCGTCTTTCATAGCCTCAACACTATTTAAAAGACTAAAGTCTCTTCCAAGACTCAAGGCAATCTTCTAATTGTAATCCCCTGTAAAATAAAAAATCAAATCACATATTTCCAACATACAATGACACAGGACATACATTACCATTCCAAAAGGGAGAAAAGGGAGCATGGTGAGGAAACACTAGACCAAAGCAGGACCAAAACCTAGCAGGGAAAACTCCAAATTTTCTATCTCTGTGCCCAGTGTCTTGACTTATTAGATGGCTTTTTATATCCTTTTTTTTTTTTTTCCAGCTTTGTTGACTGCAACACACTTCTCTCTCTTGGACTGGTTCCACACCCTGTCTGTAGCTCTCCTTGACAGGTATCCAAGGTTCTGGCATCTCTGACATCTTGGGATCTCCAATGTAATTACCCAGGCTTCACCTTCATAGCTTCATGAAATGACTTCTTTGGGTCACCATGCAGGGACTCCCTTACCACACTTTGCCCTGGCGTCTTTCCTTAACTGCTGAGGAATTATTCTACAACCCCTTTTTTATATCCTTGATCAAACCAGAACCATGTTGGCAGAAGTGCCAAGTTCTGCTGCCTGGGCTAAAACCTGGTCCCTTCCATGACTTATATTTGCATAAACTTTGACTTGGTGGTATTTCCTTTGGGATATAAACTTGCCTTTTTACAAGTTGTAGGATTAGCTAAGTTGGATTTTGCCCAGAGGTAACATTCCCTTTATTCCATTTAGCATCAGACCTTTCTTTAAACTTCCCATCTCTGTGAGCATAGGGCTTGCTTGGCTCCAACATTACATTTCCTGTTGGTCTTTCGCCCCCAAAACTGTATATTTTGTATTTCTTTTTGCATCTATGGCTCCTTTTAATTGTAGATCTGTGTAACCATCATCACTGATAACCACATAACACAGTCAGTGCTAGACTGCTTTGAAATCTCTGCCAATGACATTTGTCCAAACCTCTTCAATTTAGTCTTTGGCAGATTTTTTGAACAAAGGGCAGAAAGCAGCCACATTCTTTGCCAACATATCACATGAGTGGTCTCTAATATTCTTCTCCTGAAACCTTTTGAGCTAGGCCTCCATAGGCCACATTGCTGTCAGCACTGCTGCCTTCCATACTCCTACTAGGACGGCCCAGTTAAGCCCTACTTACAGCATTCAACTGCTTTCCTAATTCAAAGTCCCAGATTCTTCCATATTTCTGTAAGTAACAGTATGGTCAGACTGTCACAGCAATACCCCAGTCCCCAATACCAATTTCTGTCTTCGTTCTACTGCTGTGATGAAACACTATGACCAAAGCAACTTATAAAAAGAAGCATTTAATTGGAGACTTGGTTACAGTTTCAGAGGGTTAGTCCATAACCATCAAGGCAGGGAGCATGTAGGTAGCAGGCAGGCAGACATGGCACTGACCCAGTAGTTGAGAGCTTACAAAATGGAGACAAAGCGAACAAGACTGAACCTGACCTGGGGTTTTGGAACCTCAAAGTCCATCCCCAGTGACACACCTCCTCAAACAAAGCCACACCCCCTAATCCTTCCCAAATAGTTCTACTAACTGAGGATCAAGCATTCATCTGTAGGAGCCTTGGGGGCCAGTTCTCATTCAAACCACTACATATACATACATACAAAAATATACCTGTATATGTAGACCAAGCTGACCTTAAAATCAGAGAGATCTGCTTACTTCTGCCTCTGTACCTCACTGATTATGTTTCCTTTTATTTCCTTTTATTTTATTTTTTTGTCTCTTGAGACAAGGTCCTGCTGTGTTACCCAGGCTGGCTTTGAACTTTGCATCTTCCTGTCTTAGTCTCCTAAGTCCTGGGATTATTGGCATGAGCCAATAATGCCTCTCTGGGTGAATCATTTCTATTTATTTTCTGCTGTGGAGGAGGGGAATATTCTGAAGAAGTGATAGTAAATGAAAATGAGCTGTGTTAGCATTTTACTTGAAGAAGGCTAAGCAAGAAGAAGCCTCTTGGCATCCATACAACTTTATATAATCTTGTAAATCAGAAAGTGTGTGCCCTAGTCTAGTATAAGATGACTTTAGGAAGCAAGTGATTAAATATATTTTTTAAAGTTTTGCTTATTTATTATGTATATAGTTTTCTGCCTGCATGTATGCCTGCAGGCCAGAAGAAAGTAACAGATCTCATTAGAGATGGTTGTGAGCCACCATGTGGTGGCTGGGAATTAAACTTAGTACTTCTGGATGCGCAGCAGTACTAAATCTATACCTTGCCACGTGGCTCGTGGCTTACTGGCGTATTCACATGCTGCTTGTCATGGTGGTGGCTGGCAGTGACTCCCTCCTCCTTCCTGGTGTCTCAATTCTCCTCTTTGTTAGTCCTGCCTATACTTCCTGCCTGGCTACTGGCCAATCAGTGTTTTATTTATTGACCAATCAGAGCATTTGACATACAGACCATCCCACAGCACTTCCCCTTTTTTCTTTTCTTTTCTTTTCTTTTTTTTAAAAGGAAGGTTTTAACTTTTACACATCTCCAAAGCCAGCTTGGTATATTTGGGAATTTGGGTGTAGTTTCTCTTACTACTTCCTGCTGGAGGGGGGTGCTGTATCTTATGGGGACACAAAGAAAATTTTAGGATTATGGAGTAGTCTAGAGGGTGTATCATCTGAGCCAGTTGTCTTGAAATGGTTCTGGATGTTGGATCATCTGGGCCTTGGTGTCATCAGAGACCTTTCAGGGGGTCTTGGCTGGTCAAACCTGATGTGTCTTAATCTGGAGCAAATCCATAGCCTCTGGCTTTCTGTGGAAACAAAAGCAGAGCCTCCTTTCCAAAGCAACATATCCTTACATCCAAATTTTTAAGTCACGGTACCTTTAAAATATCCATATTGGTTTAACTCAACAGCTTTTATGATCAGATGTTTTTCTTCAGTTATGAATATCAAAGAGAACATAATCCAGATTTTCTGCGTGATAGCCATCTTTACGTGGCTTATTTTTTATATTACCTTGAACCTATTGCTTTAAACTGCAGCATTCTAAGACTGAAATGGCGCTGTGGCTGCTGGCCCCGCCCACCTCAGCTTCCCAACATGGCAGTGGTATGTTTACCACCAGCTCTGGGAGCCAACGTGGGTCTATGCTTTTATCCAAGCAGCGTGTAGCCCCGAAACCTCTTTTTGTTTTGTTTTGTACTAGTAATGGCTAAATCTACCACACAGCTTAATGTGCCAGTTGCAGAGGCCTCATTCGTGCCATACTGCAGGTTGAGCGTGCACGCCAGGAACCCGCCATAGTAGCTCAAACACGCAGGCTGCCACTAACTTGAAAGAGACAACTAGAAGCTGTTTTTAGCTCCGTTTTAGTATCTTTTTACTCAGGTTTTAGGTGGAAACTCTTGCCAACTGCTGAGCCATCTCTGCAGCCTGTGATTAAATATTTTTAATATAACTGATATTTTGTCATTACATGATGTATACAATTGTAATTCCTCTGAGAATGGCATAGTGGATTTTAAAAGACCATACTTTTCAAGAAAACACAGTGACTACACTAGCACCTGGGCATACCATTTTTCCTTCCCAAGAGGAATGTTGGCTTGCTCTTGAGCTGTGAAGCTCTGTGTTGGTATTACTCTTTGAGCTATTTTAAGTTTAAGGGCCTAGAGGAAGGCTTGGAACACCCAGAAATCCCATGAGTCTAAAATTACATTTGTAAGCTGTATCTATCTTCTTTATCTTGGAACCCTCCTTTTTGTAGGACCCCATCTACAATTTTTAATAGGCTAGTATCGTTAGATATGGTTAACTCGGAAGATTAGTAATATAAGCAGGTTAATTGGCTTATTTTTTTATTTATTCATTTATTTGTTCTTATTTATTTATTTTTGAGACAGGGTTTCTTTATGAAGTTCTGGCTGTCCTGGAATTCACTATGTAGATCAGGCTGCCTTGAACTCACAGAGATCCTCCTGCCTCTGCCTCCTGAGTGCTAGGACTAAAGGCATGTGCCATTACCCCTGCTTAATATATCAATTCTTCTGTGTTTATCACAAAGATTTCTTTCAAAAGCAAGACTGAGTCTTCACCATAAATAATTGTTAAAATAAGAATCAAAATTAGCATGTGTCCCTTTACGCTGCCACACCAGGATGCTGAGTAGTGTTCATATTGGCTAACAACTTTTTCTCCCTGACACTTTCAGAGATTTGAGAAACAATGAAATTTCATGGGCCATAGAAGATGCTAGTGAAGCCTTTGCTGGACTCAAAAGTCTCACTAAATTGTATGTATCCGTGGTGTTTGTATATATCTAATAGATATCTTTGCAAGGAGTAGTTGTAAATATTATTGGATAATGTTTATTTTATGTCCAGAAAATCTGAGCCTTCCTACTGTCTCCCAAAGGAAGGAGCTTTGTTTGTTTGTTTGTCAAATAGTTTGTTGTGTTTAGGCACTTTTTATTTATATTGCTATGGAAATTAAGTTTTTAATTTATATTTATTTATTTATTTATTTTTTCGAGACAGGGTTTCTCTGTGTAGCATTGCACCTTTCCTGGAACTCACTTTGGAGACCAGCTGACCTTGAACTCACAGAGATCCGCCTGCCTCTGCCTCCCGAGTGCTGGGATTAAAGGCGTGCGCCACCACCGCCCAGCGACCAAGTTTTTTATTTCTTAGTTTCAGGTTAGCACTGTAAGAGATAGGTTTTATCCCAGCGTGTTCATCCATATGTTTCATTATTCTTTGTTCTCATTCATTCCCCTCCCTTACTGTTCTCTTTCCATTTCCTCCCTGCTTGGGTTGGTTCCCTTTTTACATCCAGGTAGTTCTTTCTGCTTTCTTTTGACTTATGCATCATTCTCTGTTTCCTACCACCCTCAAGATCTCTTTCTCCCCTCTCGTGATCCCTTTCCTAGTTTCATGACCTACAAACACATATATGGCAGGGCAGTGGTGGTGCACACCTTTAATCCCAGCACTCGGGAGGCAGAGGCAGGCGGATCTCTGTGAGTTCGAGGCCAGCCTGGTCTACAAAGTGAGTTCCAGGAAAGGCGCAAAACTACACAGAGAAACCCTGTCTCGAAAAACAAAACAAACAAACAAAAAACACATATATCACACACTAATATAATTCTAAATCTAGGTTCTGCTTATGAGAGAAAATGTTTGGCTGTATCCATTTTCCTACAAATTTAATAACTTAATTTTTCTTTATGGCTGCATAAAATTCTGTTGTATGGATGTGCTATCTTTTCATTATCCATCCATGTTTTAGTGGACACCTAGGCTGTGGCATATTGACTTAGAGTCCTTCAGGTATGTATTTACCAGTAGTTTAGCTGGGCCATATGGTAGTTTTATTTTCAGTTTTTGAAGAACCCTCCATACTGATTTCCATAGTGACTATAAGTGTACGCTCTCAACCCTGTGGGATTTAAATAAGTTACAGAATAGAGTTTTCCATTCAAGTAAGAGAAGAGCTTTGAGAAAATGTAGTTGAGTTGGTATTGTGTTTAATCATGTGAGATATATGGGGAATATGTCTAATAATAGGAGAAAATATTCTTCCATAAAGCATTTTACATCCCCTATAAGAAGGATTTCACCAAAGATTTATGCTTGTCCAAATGTCTTTAATCTGACCATCTTTTATTAAGGAGAGAAATGGGGAATTTAACCTTATGTAGCATCAGCAAATTACTTTAGTGGTTAGGATGGCTGTTTAGAGGAGCTCTGAAATCTCAACAGAAGCTTTTGTGTTGTACTTTGCATTAATTAGTAAGTTCATAACTTTCTTAAAAATGCTTGCTTTCACTAAGCTATAGTTCAGTGTATATAATTTCCCCCCTCCTCAGTTGTGTCTCAATAAAGCTCAGAGGTTAAGAATGCTTTCTGTTCTTCCAGAGAACCTGAGTTTGGTTCTCAGCACTCATAGTAGGTGGCTCATAACCACTTGTAACTTCTACTTCAGAGGGTCTGATGTCCTCTTCTGGTCTCCACAGGCACAGCACTTACATGAACATACCTCTCCCCCACTATCTACACGCAGGGACATAATTAAAAATGTGTTAATAATACCACACTATAAACTTTTAACTTAAGTATAGCTTGTATAGATAAATATTTAATGAATTTAATTTTATTTCAGAGTCTTGCAAGGAAACCAGATTAAGTCAATTACACAGAAAGCATTCATTGGTCTTGAATCCCTTGAGTATTTGTAAGTATTTCATATATATTTACTCACTGCTGCTGTGGGATGTCTTTCTGTACTCTGAATATGTGTTGCTCTGATTGGTTGATAAATAAAGCTGTATTGGCCTATGGCAAGGCAGCTTAGAGGCAGGCAGGAAATACAAGCAGATAGACAGGAAGAAGAAAGGAAGGAGGGAATAGATGTGAGCCAACCACCCAAGGAACACCATGTAATGGGATGCAGATAAAACCATGGAACATGTGGCAATACATAGATTAATAGTTATGGGTTAATTTAAGATATAATAACTAGCTAGCAAGAGGCCTGCCATAGACTATACAGTTTGTAAATAATATACGCCTCTGTGTGTTTACTTGGGTCTGAGTGGCTGCAGGACTGGACGGGACACAGGAAAACCTCCAGCTATACTCTGCATAATCTTTGTGCTGGGTGTGATGGTGCCTACCTTTAATCCTAGTCCTCAGGAAGCAGAGACAGGCAAATCTTTGTGAGTTTGAGGCCAGCCTGGTCTACATAGCAAGTTTAAAGCCAGACAGGATTGCATACAGAGGCTGCCTCAAAACAAAACAAATTTTGCTGTCTCCGGGAGGTGTTCATAAGCATTTATGTAGCTTCACTATAGATATAATTACTGATGTTGCATTTCTCTTGATTTCAGAGATTTGAACAACAATGCTATAATGTCTATCCAAGAAAATGCTTTTTCTCAGACTCACTTAAAGGAGCTGTAAGTAACTTTTTTTCTCTTTTAATTGTTAGTGCTTATTGTATGTGAAGTACACCACACCTGGTGCAGATGGAGGCCAGGGGAGGTCATCAGATCCTCTGCAACTGGAGTTACAGATGATCGTGAACCGTTATGTGGGTGCTGGGAATTGAACTGGGTCTTTATTTTTTTATTTTTTATTTTTTTCCAGAGCTGAGGATCAAACCCAGGGCCTTGTGCTTGCTAGGCAAGCGCTCTGCCACTGAGCTAAATCCCCAACCCCGAACCTGGGTCTTTAGGTAGAGCAGACAGTGTTCTTAATCACTAAGCCATCTCTCCAGCCCCTCATTGTCTGAAAAGAAAAGAAGGCGACTCAGATGTTTTCAGAAGCATGTGATTTAAGCAAGAGCTATATAAGTGTTAACATGGTGTTGTTTCAGTGGTGGTGTCATGTAGAGATACCCAGCACTGAATAGTCAAGTGTGTGTGCTACCACCTGTGTGCTGATGTGCTCGTAAGTAGGAGTCCTTAGCACCACTCCTGGGCTCGGATGTGTACTGTACTTTCTGGACTATCAGAAATGTGTCTCCAGTTCTTACTCTGTGATTGGGTTAAGGTGGGTAGCTGTTGATTTTGTTCTTTTATTTTATGAAATTGGTCTCGAATTTTGTGTTAATTTTAATGTGTTTAAACTACTAAAATGGTTAAAACTTTAAATGTTACAGTAAAAAAAAGTAGTGTTTATATATCCCCCCCGCCCCCAGAGCTGAGGACTGAACCCAGGACCTTGTGCTTGCTAGGCAAGCGCTCTACCACTGAGCTAAATCCCCAACCCATGTTTTATATTTTTTTCACATATAATTTTTAAAGCAAATTTTTAAATGTATATGTTGTTTTGCTTACATATATGTCTGTGTACCATGTACGTGTCTGGTGCCTGTGGAGTCCAGAAGAGGGTGTCAGATCCTCTGGAATTGATGTTACAGACAGTTGTGAACTGCCATGTGGGTGCTAGGAACTGAACCCAGATCCTGAAAGAGCAGTGCTTTTAACCACTGAGCCAATTCTCCAACACCTTCTATATAATTTTTAAAAATTGCCTTTTTAAAAAATGTATGTGTATGTGCCTGAGTGTAAGTGCACCACATGCATGCACATATGAGTTCAAGGAGGTCAGAAGAAGGCATCAGCTCCTCTGGAACTGGAGTTACAGGTGGTTGTGAGATGCCTTGGGGTGCTGGGCAACAAGTTCAGGTCCTCTGTAAGAGCAGTAAGAGTTCTTAACTGCTGAGTCATCTCTTTAGCCCCTAAAATTGGTTTTATTAGTTTAGAGATTTTTCTGAGTGAAGGAAGTTAGCTGGGAATTGTTACCAATTGAAACTGTGGTGTTGGAAAATCAGTATTTTAAATGCTGTGATTAGGGGCTCTTCAAAGGGCATGCAGTAGAATCAGTTCATGACAAGACAGTAATAAAAATGAAGAGAAAGCTTGTAGGAATTTTTACAACAATTACATACAATTAGGACACCTTTATAGTAGTTTTTAAAAGTCTTAGTTTTGGAACAGTGACATGGTTCAGTGGATAATGGTGCTTGCCTTCAAGCCTCACAATCTTGAGTTTGATCCCAGGACCCACATGATGGAAGACCTGACTCTTACTAGTTGTCCTCTGACTTCCACATAAGTGCATGGCATGTAGCCGGGCATGGTGGTGCACGCTTTTAATCCCAGCGCTGGGGAGGCAGAGGCAGGTGGATCTCTATGAATTCCATACCAGTCTGGTCTACAGAGTGAGTTCCAGGACAGTCAGGATTATGTAGAGAGATCCTGTCATCCCCCCACTCCCAAAAGAATGTGGCATGTGTGTATGCTAACTGCCCCCCCAACATCTTTATACACATATATGGTAAATAAAAATCTAAACAAATTTATTTTAAAGTACTGATTTGTAATAGGTTGGAAAATTTAAAAACTGGTTCTTACCCAGATTGAGATTTACTCCATTCCTTACAGCTTGTCACAATAGACAAACTGCTTAGCTGGAGTCTCTGTTCCTTTTCAGAATTGGAGTAGTGGTTCCCTAGGATCATGTGAAGATATAGTGAAATAATTTGTTTATAAAGACTTCATTCATCATCCATTGTGTACTGAATTGGATCATGGTCTCTCTCTCTTTTAATAGTTTATTTTTATTTTATGTGCTTTGGTGTTTTGCCTACACATATGTCTGTGTTGGGGTGCCTGATCCCCCAGAATCAGAGCTACAGACAGTTGTGAGCTGCCATGTGGGTGCTGGGGATAGAACCTGGGTCCCCTGGAAGGGCAGCCAGTGCTCTTAAGTTCTGAGCCATCTCTCCAGCCCCCATGGTCTCTGTTCATACCTCATATTGTATTAAGAAAGATTATTCTGAAGAAGACACAGAATTAAACAATAAGGGTTAGGCATGTAGTTTGGTAAGGTGTCTTGAACTCACAGAGATTCCACTGCTTCTGCCTCCTAAGTGCTGGGATTAAAGCTATGCATAACTCCGACCCAGCCTGTCTAATCTAAAACCTTGCTGAATCTGAAAGTTTAGCAAGGATTCTCCCATGTACATCCCTGAGTATCCTTAGATACCCTAGATAATTGATCAAGTTTTCCCTTCTGTACCATCCCCAGGTGATGTCTGGCTACTCTGGCCTGCCTGTAGCAGGAAGCTTTCTAGATTGTTTTAGCCGGAATCCTCCTCAGTTCTGAGGCTTTTGCTTAGTAATGTACCATCCACTGATTCTCACCCCTCTTTCTTTTTTTGGCTAAAAATTCCTTTTTGTTGTTGGCTGTAATTGCAATTGAGCCCAGCTTCTTTCCTCTGTTGTAAAATCTCATTGCAGTGATCTGTGCCTGGGAGATGGTCTTGAATACACTCCGCCTCACCATGCTTTAACAAGTATCATTGAATAACTTTTCCTTTAACAGTTGTGGTGTTGTGGCATGGATAGGATCAGATTCATCATTGGACCCCCAGACCTCTCACCCAGGACTCCCAAATGTACACTTTTGAAGACTTTGTCTTCATTCCTGACTGATTGATCGGGGATCCAATGGTGAGTCAGACTGGTGAACCATTGCTCTGGACAAACATCCATTGGAGCTGGTAAGGAGAGATTCTGAGTGCAGTTTCTTTTTTTTTTTTTTTTTTGGTTTTTTCGAGACAGGGTTTCTCTGTGTAGCTTTGCACCTTTCCTGGAACTCACTTGGTAGCCCAGGCTGGCCTCGAACTCACAGAGATCCGCCTGGCTCTGCCTCCCGAGTGCTGGGATTAAAGGCGTGCGCCACCACCGCCCGGCTCTGAGTGCAGTTTCTAAAGCTAGGACTGAGTACCCATTTCTTATGGAGGCACCTGCTCAGCTGGAGGTCTTCCTGGGCCTCTTTCGTGAGTGGGGATTGTTTCCTGACTCCCTGGCATAGATATCTTTGTACTCTGTAGAATCGTTTTCTTGATTGGATTCTGCTTCTCCTACAGAAACTCTCTGTCCTCACTGGAAACCCTGGCAATAACATGTTCTGCTACCTTTGTCCACTTAACTGTCTACTTCTTAATTATTGGAACTTTATTGTCCTCTTTTGAGGAACTTAAGGTCTCCTTATGCTGGTTCCTCTTAAGACCACTCCCTTCCCATTGCTATTTCTCTTTCTCCTCTTAATCACTAGTTCCCTTGAGTCTTATATTGCTGTGTCTTTCTGAAAATCCCCCCTTCTTCATTTGTCTATCCACCTCCATCACACCATATTCCATTTTAGCTGCTTCACTGTCAGGCCACCTGACCTCCATTGGGACTTTCTGATCCCCAAATAGCTGTGTGAGTCTGAAAAACACTGGATGGAAGTACTATTTTATCTCTACCCAGATGGGCTTTGGTGATATCCAGATAGCTCCTAAGTATCCCTGTAACCTCTCTAAGATGATATGTTATGACAAAAATATTTTTTAGTTTCTAAAAACTTATTAGCATATATTGATTATACATAATAGGTTTCATTATGGCATTTTCATACATGTATGTAATATAATTTGATCATATTCATTCCCTAACACCTTTATCCTTTTATCCCCCACTACTCCCCATTAATCCTCTTCCCAAGTAGCCTCCCTTCTATTTTTATGACCCAGTGACTTTCATTAGGGCTATTTACAGAAGCACGGGCACCTTACCTGTGGTTACAGCACTGAGGAAGATGTCTCTCCATCCCCCAACTGTAGATGAATTCCTAAATGGTCTTATTAAATAAAAAACACGGAGCCAAATACAGGGGTGAAAGCCTTAGAGATCAGGGGAATAGGGAAAGCCACCAGCCAACCTTACCTCACCAACTCTGCAGCTTCCAAATGTGAGTTACTTCCTGTCTACCCACACCTTTATATGCCTTGCTTTTCTACCTTCTCATTGGCTCTTAGCCCAGCTACCTCACTTCCTCATCACTGTCTGTACAGACCTCCAGGTCTCTATGGTTGGTACTGGGACTAAAGGTGTGTGGCACCACGCTTGGCTCTGTTCCCTAGTGTGGCCTTGAACTCACAGAGAGCCTGCCTGCTAAGTGATCGGACTAAGGGCGTTTGCTGCCTGACTTTGTTTACTTAAAATGGCTGGCCTTTTCCCCCTGATCTCCAGGCAAGCTTTATTTATCAAAGCACAAATAAAATATCACCACATTTCAGCACAAATAAAATATCAACCACACCCAACAACCATTAACAGTGTGTAAATCCTCAGAGGGCCCCCTAAGCTTGACAATCTCTCCCACACATATGTATGTTTCACCCTATCTTTCAGGAATATGTCCCCTGTGCTGACACTGCATAGTACTAGATATATATAGGCCATATATATACTAGAAAGCTATTGCTGCAGAATAATAGAGTTCCCTTGTCCTTCCATGTCTTGTGCCCTGTTGCCTCCTCTTCATCGCTTGTGGTTGGGACTTGAACAAGTTAAAGAAGAGTTATTTGAACCCAAGCTACTGTAACACTAACACTTGATCT